TCAATTTCTTTTGAAACTTTGATGGGTGACTCAAGTTTCTACATTTTTCTAATACGTCGTTGCTACCGATCGAATCATTGTTATTGTCAACTCTCTTTCTTCAAAATTTCTTTTCCGCCTTCGAGTTTTGAGGTGGAGATCGAATCTTTTCGTCTTTTTGGTCAAGTTATATAGAAAAATTACGATTAAGGGTAGGAGGTTGATGGTTTACTATGACCCGTGTTCAATCTCAACCATATGGTTTGAGTCAACTTTAAATAAATAAAAACTTTATGGGTTGGGTTGGTTCATAAGTTATTCTATCAATGTTAGCTCACGATTTTAAAACACGTCTGTTAAGGAGAGGTTTTCACACCCTTATAAGGAATGCTTCCTTTCCCTTTCCAACCGACGTCAGATCTCACAATCCACCCCTCTTGAGAGTCCAACGTCCTCCCCTCTCCAACCAATATGGGATCTCACAATTCACCCTCATTGGGGGCCGAGCGTCTTCACTAACACACCGCCCGGTATCTGACTCTGATACACTTTGTAATAACCCAAACCCACCACTAGCGAATATTGTCTGCTTTGGCCCATTACATATCATCGTCAGTCTCACGATTCTAAAACGCATTTGTTAGGGAGAGGTTTCCACACCTTTATAAGAAATGCTTCCTTCCCCTTTCCAACTGACGTGGGATCTCACAATCCACCCTTCTTGGAGGTGCAACATTCTCCTCTGTCCAACCAATATGGGATCTCACAATCCACCCCGCTTGGGGGCCGAGCGTCCTCCCTAACACACCGCCCGGTATCTGACTCTGGTACCCTTTGTAATACCTCAAGCCCACCATTAACAAATATTATCCGTTTTGGCTAGTTACATACAGTTGTCAGCCTTATGATTCTAAAACGCGTTTATTAGAGAGAGATTTTTATATCCTTACAAGCAATGTTTCGTTCCCTTCTCACACTAATATGAACTCTCGTAATATATTTATTCTCATATGTGTTTTAAAAATATATCTTGTGTTTTTGAAATGCAATTATTTATTCTCTAATTTTAAGTTTTTTTTTTTTTTCTAGAGATATAAAATTATTGCTGATTGGTTTATAAAGATAAGATATCTATTGAAGTTCCATCCCCACATCACAATTATTCCATCCTCAAATAATTTGCATTTTCCCTAATTCAAATACAGTAATTCCCTCTATCCATATATAATTCCCTCTCCCCTCATCACCATATTCAACAAATTTCTCTCCCACACTCTCCCACAAATCTCTCCGCCCAAATTCCCCCTCAACCATGTCCGCCGCCACCCACCTCTCCGGCAACCCAGATAAGATCTTCCACAAACCACCACATCGGCGGAACGCTTCCACCGAGCTCGACGTCTTCGAAGCCGCCCGCTACTTCTCCGGTAGCAACGAACTCATTTACACCAACACTTCATCATTCACTCACAATATCATCAGAGAGGATCACAGCAGCCGGAGAGGCGGAAGAATGAGCCTCGACTTGCCGTTAAGAACCAATGCAGCTCCACCGCCGCCGTACACGGCGGAGAAGCCACCAATCAAAGAGAAAAAACACCGGCAACAACCCAGCTCCCCGGCTGGTCGGCTCGCCAATTTCCTCAATTCCCTCTTCAACCAATCAGCTTCTCAAAAGAAAAAGAAACCCAAAAATGGCATGAAAAACGATGAATTTCATCACGAAATTGGAGCAAGAAAGAGAAGAAGCAGCTTAAGTTCGCTCATCGATTCAAAATCATCTTCAAACATCTCAGCTCCCAACAAAAATTACAAGCAAATCAGAAACCTTTTGGATCAGACACGACCAGCTTCCAAGAATCTCGGAAATGTTAAGCAAAATTCTGATCACCCGACCAGAAAAATCAAAGATGTCGACCAAGATGCTCGAAGTGATTCAAGTTCCGATCTTTTTGAGCTACGAATCTACGACTTCGATTGATGAATATGCCGTACAAATCTCTAAAATAGTATGATATTGTCCATTTTGTGCATAAATTCTCATTGTTTTTGCTTTTAATTTATCCAAATGGCTTTATATCAAAAATTGATTTGTAACATACTCGATCAAATGGTTAGTTTTCTCGCCTTCTACAGATCCCATACTACTCCCATAAACTTAAAATCTATAATCCCAATTGCTATGGGAATACCGTTTAATTTACCTGTACCTATTTCAATAGTCTCGGTTAATCCTGTCTTTATTTGATAAGAATCAATACGATCTTTATACGGTTCCTCCTCTGAATGAAATGGTAACCTCACGGTTCACAAATATTCATAATTTTCGCATTAAACCCACACATGCTTGTATTTTTATTTATAAATACGTAAAATAATTTCATCTCGTCTAATTCTTTTAAAAATCTCTTTTTTTCTAATTATTGGGATGAAATTTCTCCAAAATATTTGCTTTTTGGGGAACACCCATTAATGATATTTAATGAAATAATTAATCTCTAGAAACCTTAAATTGGATTATGTTATTGAAACTAAAAGGCACTTTTTGTTTAGTTAATGAAAATCAGTGTTCATTAATCATGATTATTGTGATCTTAATCCAATAAATTGTTTTTATTTGACTATATAATATGTGTAACACTGTTCATTTATGTTTTTTTTTTTTTAAATACACATTATTTAATTATTGGGGGAAAAAACAAAGTGGGGAACTGATAAGGTTGGGGGGCAAACGTTGTCGTTTTATGAAGAAGAGAGATCCAAAGAGATAAACTGTCTGGTTGACAAATGGAATTTAAGGGTTCTTTCAAAGGTTTAATGATGAAGTTGGAGCAAAGTTGTATCCTATTGATCATACCACTTTATCTTTAAATCTTTTTTATATTAATTAATTTTGATCTTTTTTTTATTTTTTTGATTGAATCATATTTAATTTTTGAATTTTATAAAAAAAATGTGTAATAAAGTCATTTACCTATTTAATATTTTTTAAAATCTTATAAAATATTTTCAATTCAATATCTGAATTTTTTAAAAAAATTTAATATATTATGAAACTATCATATAACAAATATTAAAATTAAAAATTTAAGGAGTTTTGGAGTTGAATTAGTAAAACCTACTAACATGAACAACTAAACGGCGCCGTTTGGTGAACCTGAAAAGTCAAAAGTCGGCCGACATCAATTTCATCGTCGTTATGGGTTGGGAGTCGCTGCCACGTGGATTGGGAGTGTCGTTTCCTGGCCAACCCTTTCGAATTGGGATCGTTTTTCGATTTTTGTTCATTATATGAATATCCAACGGCTCATATTATTGGGCTTCAGGTAAAGCCCAATTTTATAAACAGCCCAACTCTCTCCAACCGATGTTTAGTTCCATGTAACAGCCCGGTCCTCGCTGGCACACGCTCCGTCTCTGATACCATTTGTAACAATTCAAGCCCACTGTTAACAAATATTGTCCGCTTTGACCCGTTGCTTATCGTTGTCTGTCTCAAAGTTATAGAACGTGTCTATTATGGAAAGATTTCCATACTTTTATAAGGAATGTTTCGTTCTCTTCTCTTATCGATGTGGGATCCACATTCCACGTCTCTTTCAATGATGCAGAATTTAGCCAAGCATGATTGTTTCAATTGTGATCAGGTTCGAGATATCGCTCTCTATCTAATTTGTCCTACTCGAGTTCTTGCATTGATTTAGTGTTCTGTCCAACACTCTTCGATACTTATAATAAGCATAAAGTGGTGTCAAACTAAACTCGTCTTCAAATGCATATTTCGAGGGCTAGGGTTGCACATGAGATCTTTCCTCTCTCAATAGTCGAATGCCCTCCTCAACTCAACATTCGAGCGTCGGAAGGTATGCCTTACCTCTTCGAGAAACATGGACACTAACGATCGTGGATGGACCTGAACCTATGGACTTGCCTTACCTCAACAAAGGCAATATATGTTTTATACTATCAATTCATGTCTCATGCCAACGACACGAGCATAACTCAATTGATTTAGGCGTACACCTTCAACTAAAAAGCTAGATATACGAATCGTCACTCTCCACATATTCAACACGGAAAAAATTCTCGAAGTCCGATCGAAAATAAAAGCATTGATCATGATATCAGAAATTACAACTCTTATAGCTGTTAATCCACAGCCAACAAAGTTCATTAATGAAAAAAAAAAAAAAAAAAAAAAAAAAAAAAA